GGACGGTTCTACGGAGAGGAGGACGGTTCTACGGAGCGGAGGACGGTTCTACGGAGAGGAGGACGGTTCTACGGAGCGGAGGACGGTTCTACGGAACGGTGGACGGTTCTACGGAACGGAGGACGGTTCTACGGAGCAGAGTATGGTTCTACGGAACGGTGGACGGTTCTACGGAGCGGAGGATGGTTCTACGGAACGGTGGACGGTTCTACGGAGCGGAGGACGGTTCTACGGAGAGGCAGAGTCAGCTCAGACGATGTCCGAGTCCTCTTGGGCTCACTGTTTAAACTCTTTGGATGCACTTCAAGTCGTTTTTGCCAGTTTCTGTTTCATTTTGGACAAACTTTGAGTAATTCTGGAGAACTTTGAGTGTTCTGGACAAGCTGGCGTCCAGCTGGACACCACTGAGTGAGGCAGGACTCCTGAAACTTTAAATCAGCTCCAGCAGTGAGCAAAGCTCCAGTTGTGTCCTCTCCGTCCCAGCCTTCCCTTATTCCACGTTCACCCTGAGCCTCTGCTGCCGAAGTCGCCTCCAATTAATTTATCACGAGCTGTAAACAAAGCAGACGGAGCGACACAGGTCGATCTGAGAGGATGAAAGAGCTTCGCTCCTCTTCCTCGTCTATTTCCATCCCCCTCTCCTCCCTCCGGCGGTTCATCCATCCTGCCCACTCACAGACAGAAATAGACTGATGGAGAGCAGAGCTCTGCTGGGAGATGACCACCGGACTCATACATCCATACACCCAGATGCAGGCTCCTATAGATGCTGCTGCTGCTGACAGCAGCTCTGATAGATGATTCCACTGCTGAATATTTATATGCTGCTCACAGCTCTCAGTTTATGAAGCCTCTAACCTTGATGGTTTATTCCAGGCGGCCGTGTGAGAGTGCATTAGTTTGAGCCTAATCAACTTTATTAGAGTGTCGCCGAGTCATCCAGCATGTGAGCCGTGCAGCAGGACGTTCCTCCGACTCAGCAGCTCCATGGGAGTCCACCTGATTCCACTCAGTCAGCTGTATTTATGCAACACGCAGAAGCTGGAGGTGGAGTGGTGTTAGTCGGGACGTCCTGATGGAGTGTTTACTACCTGCTGATACAGAACCCAGTCTGACACCATCTACTGAAAATAAACACTCGCAGCACATTTACATGCTCAGAACCAACCCTCTGCTTGATAACTGAGCAGCTCTGCAATGCCACAGAACATCACGCAGCGGAGCTTCACTACGAGGTTCCTACAACCAGGAGCTCAGACTGCAGCTCATGGTGGCAGCAGAGAGCAGCAGGACCACGACAGAGACTGTGAGGAGGTTCAGGACCTCCAGCCTGAGCTCAGGTGCTTCAGATGAATCACAGGGAAACATGGAACCAGTCACGGGTCTGAGGACCAAAACATCAACATGGGAACAAATGAACACTTTGATTGGTTTCATTGTTGAACCTTCAGTGACTGAATTATTGATCAGACCAGCATCTCCAGCACGCTGCTGCAGACCACGCTGCCCTGCACCACAGGAACACTGATATCAATCAGCTCAGACTGTTTTGATCACGTCAGATTCTGCTCTATGAGATCGGATCAGAACATCCCGAGTTTTACCCAAAAACAACATGTGGCGCTGAATGTAGACACTGTGACAGGACGCCACGAACAAACCGCCACAAACAGACAGAGTGACGTCAGAGGAGTACTGCCGGGAGGTCAGATAACGATAACAATAATGATAATAATAATGATAATGATAATAATAATAATAATAATAACAACAGTGGTACGGGTCCATGTAGGACCGGTCCAGTCTACATTCAGTATGAAGGAGTTCTAGTGAAACACAGTCTGTGGCTTCATGTGGCTTCAGTGTTGTAACACGAAGACCAAAATGTAAATCCTCATCCTCACCATGACGCCCATCTGGCAGCCAATCAGCTTCCAGACAACATTTGAATTTTGCAAATGACTTCCTCGGAGGGTTGAACTGACGTCATTAAAACCAGCAGGAAGCTCCGTGAGTTCTGGTTAATGACAGTAAACAACAGCAGAGTCAACGGTGACACGTCATTCAGATGTCACATGTGTCCCTTCATGGTAATCAGATTACTTCTGCAGTAGAGGATTGTCTCTGATGTCAGATTAAAAGCTACTGGTTCAGACTGGACTCAGATACAGACTCCACAGCAGGAGCTCAGCGACACTGAAGTCAGTTTCATCACTAAGATTCTGATCTGCTGGGTTCAGACCAGGACTCACACTGTCCAGGTCCTGGTTCCACTTGGTTCTGGTGTAGAAGCTCTTGATGATGTTGTTCTCTGGATGTTCTCCTGCTGGAATGTTCCTCTTCTTCATCTGGTCAGCCAGTATCCTGGTTCATCCTCAGACATTCATGGAGCTTCTAGAAAC